TTGGATAGAAAAAAGTGTAGAAATAACTGACTAGTAGGAAAAGTACACAGAAAATGTGTAAGACTAAAATATAAAGGACTGCCTGGATAGAAGGGGGAAAGGGAAAGAAAAAAATTAAGAGACACTGAAAGAAACTATCAGATAATCTCCAATTGAATGAGATAAGTGAAAGCTGAGGATAGGTGACATGAATATTCCTTAATTACTCCGAGTAAGTTAACTGAAAGCCCTCCCCGCAAAATTTCTGCTTTTCGTTTAAAATGTATCAATTATTTTATAGAAAAAAATCAATTTTTTCATACATACATACAAAAAAAAGTGACCTAGCAATTATAACACTAAACATTGATTCCTAGTAGTTTAACTGCCAAGATGGTATTGGAAAAAATAAACATGTAATATTAGACGCTAAAATTACAAATAAATTTAGTTGGGCTGGGGTTGTGGCTCAGTGTAGAGCACATGCCTAGCACGCATGAGGCCCTGGTTTCAATCCTCAGCATCACATAAAAATAAACAAATAAAATAAAGGTATTGTGTTCAACTATAACTAAAAAAATAAATATTTAAAAAAATGAATTTAGTATCTCTGGCCAATAATGGTCACTATTTATTAGCAAATTTGCTTTATCTTTAACCCTTTTGGCTAAACCAAAGAAAAACCCTTGGTCACAACTCTTCCTCTGAGCCGGTTATCTACCGGGAGAGCATGCAATTTTTCTACTCTTGGATTCACAAATAATATCTAACTCAAATTTCTCTATTAGAAGACAAATGATACTTTTATTATGGTACTATTGTTTTTAAGAATGTTTACTTTTATTGAGTGTGCGCAAGAAAATTTTGAGGGTCCCTAGGATATTTTCAGAAGTTCTACAAAATTAAAAACTTAGGCAAGGCACAGTGGCACACACCTATGATCCTAGTGGCTCAGAAGGCTGAGGCAAGAGAATCCTGAGTTTCAAGCCAGCCTCAGCAAAACCAAGGTGCTGAGCAACGCAGTGAGACTGTGTCTCTAAATAAAATACAAAATAGGGCTGGGGATGCGGCTCAGCAGCTGAGTGCCCAAGTTCAATCCCTAGTAACCACCTCTTTATAAACCCCCCCGCCAAAAAAAAAAAACTTTCCATAGCAACACAAATCAAAGATATTGTCGTTTAAACTCTTATTATCTTATAAGTATATACTGAAATTTTCTCTAGAGGTTCCAGTGCATATGTTAGTACAAAAGACTGAATATAGAAGCAATTATAATAACCTTGATAGAAGGTATCTTCTATCAAGTTTCATTTTAAAAGACTGGCAAAAATCTAAAACAATGAAACTCTTAATTTTCTTTTTCTGGAAAACAATTATTTCCTAAAATTAATATCTACATGTAATGATTTTATTGTTATTTTAACATTAATATTTTAGCTCCTAATATTATAAATATGGAGATATATAACCTCCAAGCCCAAAGAGTTGTTCTGTGTTCTTCAGAAAGAAATTCTGTTTTCTTGACTTGAATATTCATATTAGGAGGGATTATATAAATAGGCAAAATTTAGAATTCATTTTTAAATTTAAAATATGAAAAGCCAAACCACAGTCCTGAGATAACAGTTTATCTATAACAAAAAGTTTCAGAATCTATCTCCAATATCACTCTTACTTTTCAAACTTCTTTTAAGACTCAAACTTTTCCATTTATTTGTTTCTTACTATGGTCAACTGTGGGTACTATTACTAAGCATAAGGTTCACAACTGGAAGAAAAAGGAAAAGGATGGAATGCAGTTAATAAACTAACTCAACAACCCATAATTTTGGAGCATTCACTAAATTCAAAGTAGAAAAGTGGTAAAGAACTATAAATTTCAACTGTTAAATAATTTTAGACATTTTTACATAATGAACATAAACTACACAATTTTTGTTAAGGAGGAAATACCATACTTTTCTCAGGCTGTGTCCCAACAAAATTTACCTTCACTCTATTCCTTGGTCATTAGGGCATAACATTCAATAACAACAAAAAGAATTCTCATGAGCATCTTTATGGATTTAGCACATTCCTAAGAAGTTCAAACTATAACCTTTTATCCTACACAGTAGCTTGAGTTGTTTTTGCACTTGCCCATGGACTATATTCAAATTCACCTTCAAAAACAACAAACTTGTAATACTTGTGACAACTACTTTGTAATATTAACTACAAGCATGCAATTAAGAGAAAACCAGGAAGGAGAGCAAGTAATTCTTTCTCTAATAACTTATGAAATATATAATTACATTTACACTTATAATGTGGGAAAGAAATACTCTTCACAATGAAGATTTTGTAAGAAATATTCTAACTACCCCCCCAATCACACAGAATAATTACATAAAATACTTATGCTTACCTCAAAAATTAACACATCTATTTAATTTATATTACTTTAACAAAATTAAAATGTTTAAAGAAAATTTAAGATATGGATATTAATAGAAAGATTTCACAACCATCTAATCTAAAAACGTAAACAGTTAACACAAAAACCATAAACTTGCCTTTACTCTCACACATAGAGCATACCTTTCTGACTAATCGAAGTGCTTGTGTCCTCTCTACCTCGTTGCTCTGCTGTATGTCAATGCACCTAAATAATACACAAAATATTAATCATTGATAAAATCCTATTACACAACTTTTTTTTCTTGTTAATTCAAATTATTTTTCTTATGTCAATATATATTAAAACTTGAAAACATATTTTTTGAGTACCAGCAAATACTTTAGTTACCCTATGTAGCTCTAGCAATAAAATGTTATTTTAAAAAACAATCATTTCCTTGAAAACTTTAGGGAAAAAAATGTAGTAAGTACTTTATAGGACTACCTCTATTTAAAGAAAGGCTCAGACACATATTTACACCTATAGAATAAACTAAGAGAAACCAACTGAAAAAATATTAATGCACCTGATAAAATTCATTTTAGAAAAATTATAATGGGGAAATATTTTAATCCTGCTTTATTTGTGATTTTAACCAAGGCTTAAATATGTGTCATAATTGTCTTATACAGTATCTATAAAAATTCTATTTTAAAAAAGTATAATTTGAATTCTGATTTCTCCTCAAAACCTAATGTTTGATCAAATATCACTTAGCTGACATTTACTTGTAAAATTTATTAAATTATCCAATTTGAGAGAGTCTTTGTTTAGCATAACAGTATAATTCATTTTTTGAATTTAGGTTTAGGTAGTAATTCAGTATTCTAATACTTTATATGTAGATAGTTTACTATTTAAAAATTGCTGCTTTTATAGTTCAAGTGAAATTAATCTAAGGTAAATCTATTTTAAAGTAGGAGATGGGTATAGCTGGGGTGTAGCTCAAGGTAGAGAGCTTAGCTCCCAGGTTAGAGCCCCAGCATACGAAACACAATAAAACTAAATAGATATAGAATTCCATTTTTGGCCATTACAGAGAGGCTTAAATAAGACTAATCCTCCAGCTAAAAACAATTGTGAAGGTTGGAAAAAAAAAAAACTTGAAAAACCAATTATTAAAAGAGCAATGGAGGCTGGGTCTCATGACACATGCTTGTAATCCCAGCAGCTTGGGAGGCTGTGGCAAGAGGATCACAAGTTCAAAGCCAGCCCCAGCAACTAAGCAAGGCCCTAAGCAACTCAGTGAGATCTTGCCTCAAAATAAAAAACATAAAGGGATAGGGACGTCGCTCAGTGGTTAAGCACTATGGGTTCAAGCTCTAGTACCAAAAAACAAAAACAAACAAATAAAAAGGATAATGGAGAATAATGCCTGAAAAGAAAGCAAAGAAAACTCTATGTTGTATATGTGTGTGTGTGCATGGTTGTGTGTTTGTTTTACTGAGGATTTAATACAGGAACACATTAACAAGCCTTTTTAAATTTTTTAAATTTTGAGACAAGGTCTCTTAAGTTGCTGGCCTTTTATATGTAGATTTTTTTATATGTAGATATAAATGCTCTTGCCTCAACGAGTTACTGGGATTACAGAGTACACCACAGCAACTTGCAGGAGCTCTACATTCAACCAATCTTTTCTCTTGGAGTAAATCTCCAGTCTAAGGGACATAGAGTCCTAAGAGAAAGCAAAAGTCTGACTGAACTAGAAAGACAGAGGCTTAATTTTGTAGCACCTAAAGTGGCTAGGAGTTGAGGGGCAAAATCCCAAACAGAAGAAAGCACAGGGAAGTAAGTTAAAATATGTATGCAATGTTTTCTTCAAGCCAGTTGCCAGATTCTGTGTTGTACAAAAGCAGGATTAAGACTTGAAGAAACCACACAAGATGCTACTCTCAAAAGTAAAGGTACAGGGCTGGGGATGTGGCTCAAGTGGTAGTGCGCTCCCCCGGCATGCGTGCGGTCCGGGTTCGATCCTCAGCACCACATATAAACAAAGATGTTGTGTCTGCTGAAAACTAAAAAATAAATATTAAAAAAATTCTCTCTCTCTCTCTCTCCCCCTCTCTTAAAAAAAAAAAAAAGAAGTAAAGGTACAGAGCAGAAATGTCAGTAGGTACATAATACTGGAGATCAAATACATAATAAAAAATAAAAAGGCTGGGAATGTATCTTAGTGATAAACCATCCCTGAGTTCAATCCCTGGTACCAAAAAGAAAACCCAATTATGGTTAGCAGGATGTAATGGCACAAATAGGCTGGGATTATGAGGCAGGAGGATCTCTTAATTTGAGGCCAGGCGGTCAACTAAGGAAGACCCTGTCCCAAAATAAAATAAGAAGAGCTGAGGAGAACTCGTATTCAATCTCCAGTACTGCCAAAAACAGAACAAAACAACAAAAAGCCCATGACTGATATATTCAAGAAAGTAAAAGGCAGAGAAATAAAGCAGAGACCTAAACATTTTAAAGGATAAAGAAAATAAAACTTAGTAACTAAAATTAAGTATTCAAGAGACTGACTGTCTACTAGCAGGATAGAATGGAATACATTAAGTAGTAAGCAAGCACCCTGAAGTACAAAAAATAATAACTACCACCAAAAAGGGTTGAAAAATATAAGGGCATCAGACACAGAGGGGAACGTGAAAAGATCCAACATGTGCATAGATGGAGTATCAAAAAGTCAAACAACAATAATTCATAAGCACTAACAAATAATAACTGGTAGCCAAAACAGCTTCAAATAAGAAGGCAAAATAGAGGTATTTATACACAAATTAAACATGAAAATTCACCTCTGGTATAGTCCTTCATTACAAAAAGTGGTAAAAGAAGTTCATCAAATAGAAAGCAATTCAAGACGAAAGCACAAAAATGAAAGAAGGAAGACTACTGGAACAGGTGAATAATATGTAAATATACTTGAAATGTAAAACAATGTGTGGATTATCTTGTGGGGTTAAGATTCAAAATTAAAATGTAACAACAGATAAAAATCATAAAAGAGAAGACATAAATAGCAATAGATTTTTTTTGCACTGTTCTGGTAGTAACAAAGGGGGCAGACCTCAATGTATGAAAGATATACGGCAATCTCTAGGGTAATTATTAAAAGCAAAGACTAAAAACAAGACACTAACACAAGAGGGGGAAAATTATTGATTATTCAAAAATGACAACAAAAGAAATATAAAATACAAGAAAATTTTGACCAAAAGACTATAAATAGCAAGATAACAAACATATATATTCAAAACCTAATAGCAAGATGACAAACTCACAAATAAGTAATTACATTAGATACAGTTCATAAATTATACACATACTAAGCCACCCATACTCTGAATACTTTAATTAGAAGATAGAGATGGTTGAATTAAATATTAAAGTAGAAAAATCTATGATATTTACAGGGCAAAAACTTAGATGTAAGGAGATAAAGCACGGTGGAAAAAAGATACCACACAAACAATAAATAAAAGAAAGGCATCATTATAAAACATGAACATTTCTTCCTACTAGGAATAAAGAGGGACATTTCATAATTATAAAGGTATTAACCTTTTGAAGACTTAATGAATGCAACATGAAATTTCAAGAAAAACAAAGTCTCAATAGCATTACATCTATTAAACAAATCAGAATTTTTTAAATACCTAAAAACAGAAAATCAGCAAGTGAGATTTAATAGTGAATTCTGTTCATCATGTAGGGAGAAAAATCAACATACATATTACACAAATTCTTCCAGAGAATAAAAAGAAGGTAATACTTCTCTAGTTATTTCATGAAACATATTCCTAATACCAAAACCAGACAAGTTATTAGTGGAATTAAAAAAATAAAAGCCTATGCCTCTCATTAAAATAGTTGTCAAAAGTATTATACAAAATATCAGCAAACCAAATTCAGTTATAAAAAAAGTAGAAGACAGCTGAGCACAGTGGCACAAATCTGTAATTCTACTGGCTTGGCAGTAAGTTTGAGGCAAATGGTTCCACTGTTCAAAGCCAGCCTCAGCAACTTAGTAAAGCCTTAAGCAACTTAAGGATACTCTGTCTCAAAACTTAAAAA